TGCAGCGTTGGGTAGGACTGCTCGGGAGAGGCTGCTAAAATTTCAGGGCCAAAACAGGCTGCCCAAGAGGCGAAGGACTGAGATGGCGATCTGTACTTTCAAGGCACGGTTACTTGCATCGGAATCGCCCGCTGCACGCTGTATTTGAGACTGGAGAAGAACTGTTTCTTGGAACATGCGACAGCAGAGGCGCCGGCGGCGCATGTGTCCTCGTCAATGCGCACTTGGCCATGAACATCGATTCGTACGAAAGCCTAATAAGCCGAATCGAACATTAGCGATGAAGAGGATGTGGCTCAACCCCAGCCCTAACCATCTTCGTTGCTACGAAGAACAGAAGTTGGAAGCGTTTTATATGGATCTGGAGAGGCTCTACATAGGAGATCATAAATTCTGGACCATCGTCTCCTTCGCGCTAGATTCTGCTTCTCAGTGCGTGGCTCAGTGAGTAGAGAGAGCTATGAAGTTCAGGAAATGGAGCCTCAAGACCTCCATTAACTGGGACCACTTCGCTTCCGTTGCGAGTTGATGAAAAGATTCCGTTGTCGACAACATCGATGAAGAATGCAACCGGCTCGTAGGTCATCTTCACGATAGCGCCAGGAAAGCAGAGAGTCTACAAGTAGCCAAGAAAAGACTATCTTTGAAGGCTCTCGAGCTGATACGTAAATCGCGCGAGTGATCGCGTGGATTGGTGGAATCGCGCGAGCTACAAGCAATCATCAACAAACGTCCGAACTTGCGAAATTATGCAGAGAAGCAATAAAGGAATATTCGAAAGAGAGAAGGCAGCAGTGATGGACGAAGCCGCCGAGCTCGTAAAGAGCATTCGCAGCCTGACGGAGCTCCGCCAATTGCAAGATCAAGACCACTTCTTCTCGTCGTTCTGACGGAACAATTACTGCATCTCGAAGGTCAATGGACAAGTTCATCTACGACTTCTACTCTTCAACAGCCACGTCTACCTGCATACCCACCATCTTAGGCAAAAAAATTTATCGCACCTTCGGTTCTCCCTTCCGAAATACGACATGCCATCACGTCGATGAAGAGAGTACGGCGCTCGGTCCCGATAGGATCGAACCAGAACATCTGGAGCCTTCCACCAGTTATCGTCAGAACTCTGGCTAGGCTCTTCAGCGGTACTTGTCGGAATGCAAAGTGCCCATGTCGTGGAAAACTAGCAAGACTGTGTGGCTGTATAAAAAGAGGGATCCAAACGACATCGACAATTATCGCCCAATCTGCCTGCTTTTCACTCGCATACTCCTCAACAGGATTGGCAGCATATTAGATGAAGGGCAGCCATGCGAGCAAGCAAGCAGGGCTCCTGGGAGCGTTCAGCACAATCGAACATATCCACACTCTTACAAGACTCACTGAAGTATCGCTAAAGTACAAAATGCCGTTATGTCTTACATTCTTCTATTTGAGGACAGCATTTGATATCGTCGAGTCAGAAGCAATAATTGAAGCACTGGGCTACCTGTGTGTTCCTACTCAATATATAAGGAGGCTTCGTGAGCTCCACGACAACTTCACGGCCAGGATTTCGTCATTCTACAAGGAAGTAATTATCAACGTGAAGAGAGGTGTCCGGCAGGGCGATACCACTTCGCCCAAACTTTTCAGTGCCGCTCTCTAGAATATCATGCGTCATTCGGAATGTGAAGACTTGGAAGCGAAGGTCGACGGCCACTACCTACATCACCTCCGCTTTGCAGACGACATCGTGATTATAACACCGAACATCGAGCAGGTGAAACGAATGTTGGCCGAGTTAAACAGCGCTTGTGGGAAGATCGGTTTAAGACTGAACTTAACGAAGACGATGTTCATGAAAAAAGGATTGGTATCCGATGCTCCCTTCGAGCTAAACGGAATGTATATCCTCCAATGCTCCAGCTATGTGTATCTAGGTAAGGAAGTCAACATGACGGATGACCTAGCTCCGGAGCTGTGCAGAAGGAAACGCGCCGCGTGGGTTTAAAATATCGAAGGAGTGGTGAAGAAGACAAAGAACATCCGGCTCCGCGCTCACGTTTTCGACACTGCTGTCCTTCGTGATCTCACATACGCCTCGGAGACTTGGACTCTGCGAAAGCAGGATGAGCATGCTGTCAGCGTTACTCAACGCGCTTTGGAAAGGACGATGCTCGGAATTTCCCTACACAGGCAAGTGCAGAAGGGAATCCGGAGTTCCCAGCTCCGTCGACGAACGGAGATCTGGGATGCCGTTGATTACGCCAAAAAAAACGAAGATCAGGTGAGCCGGACACGTTATGCGATATAGAGATGACCGTTGAACCGAAACGGTTACGGACTGGATCCCCCGGGAAGTCAAGCGAACACCAGGACGGTCGCCAACGAGATGGTCAGACTTCTTTACGAAAGCTCTGATAAAACCTGGAGCAAGGATGATCCACTGGACCACTCTAGCTCGTGGCAGGGACGAACAGAGACGTTACTGGCGTCCGCTCGAGGAAATTGACGATCAACAGGACGACAAGTAATGTAGGTGACAGCTGAGACTGACACAAGACCAAGTATCTCTACTCGATGGCTGTATCACTGTAGTTGAGGGAGGTTCCGTGGCGCCATCAACTCCTTTTCTACGGCTAGCATTTGCAATAGCGACGAAACACCGGTTTGTTACTTCATAATTCGACTAAAGGGTAGTTAAACAACATGGCAAACAGGTTCAAATAATTTTTGCGGCTCGAATTCGTTCCCAGAACATTCAATCTACACCTATTAATACACATTAGCCGTTGACGCCGACGATTATAACTGGATTCCAGCAAAGAATTTTCCGGCCCTGAAGCACTTGGTGAACACTAGTTTCATAAAGCTATCTCCAAAACTATCTGGTGTAAGGAGAATCAGTAAAACNTATAAAACCTCCCTGGTGCGCTTTGCCCTCTTCAGACACCATCCTTTTCGGACGTTTACAAGAAAATATTTTCGGAAAGCATATAGCATTTTTCATTGTTTTCTTTATTATATGTTTATATTCACGTTTGAACAATAATAATAATAATAGTAATAATGGTAGTTCTATACTAGTGCTGATTAGTTGGCCATTGCCGTCGGGAAGCCGGTAGATACCGAACTTTTCCATGAAGTACTTCTTCATTTGCGATAAACATCGATGCACTTTCATGGACCCATCGTTCAACCTGAAAAGGGGCCCGATAGCCCTTCAAATGCATACAGATAGAATTAAGCATTTTCAGTAAATAAATCAGTCTCAATGTAAACGTGACCTTACTTTGTCTTTAATCCGTAGATCAGCTGGTTCCGGAAAGTTTTTATTTATTCCTTTATTTGTTGGATGCTTCACGTGCACATCGTTTCGAACCTAAACTATGTACAGCGTAAAGGGCCAAGCATGGCCCTGAGAGAAATGAGGGCAAAGCACCCACTATCACGACCCCTCCCGATCTGCTCAAAATCGTTTTAATCAGACATGCTCACAACCTCCCTTCCTAGTTCTCAACATACCCCCCCCCCCTCCTTCTACCTGCCCTGTGACCACCTTTTTCCTTTTTTTTCTCAGTTTATGACCACGACTGTAGACCGGCAAGTGACATTGCAACACCTTTCACCGGGAGAACGTCCGTTGCGCGCGTCCGTCGAAAGTAGGTCACCTCGCCCGTGCGCGGCGCACCCCACTGGGGGCTTGAGATGACATTAGAGTACCACCAAGTGCCAGTGGAGCGAACGATTTGCATTTGTCCATGTCATCTTCTCTTTGAGATGACTGCCGTGGACCAAGCGCAAATCGTATGCCCCACTGACAGTTGCGACATCCGTCAAGTATCGCGGGCTGACCTGCCGCATGCGACGTCTGCGGCGTGACCTAATTTCGACGGACGCGCGCAACGAAGCGCATCCCTTTCACCGGGACAAATACGCCCGCTGCCTTACTCATAAAAATAAATGTGATCCCTTATCTATGCTATGTAATATGGTACATCTATCAAAATCGCACCTCAGCGTAGTACTGTACTCGTCCAGGATAGTCCTTGTATCGATCGCAAACGTGCTTGATCAGACCGTTATAGCCATGCTCACCAATCTTCAAGTACACATCGGGATGTGTTTCGTTTGCATAATAACAGCCTTGGCATTCAGATTTAAATCGAGTGGACTGGTTGTGGTGAATGAAAGTTTTCGGGCAGCTTCCTACTTACCGACGACCCATCGTCCAGTTTCTAGGCATAACCATTGAAAGCGGCCGTCGCGAAACTCCGAACGAACCTTTTTGATGGAACCATTAACAAGGCAGTGTGGTTCTAAACGGTTCAATGGTCAAAATGCAAATCAATATGCCAATATAAGATAAAGAATAAAAGTTTTGCGTCAACTGGTCTTGTTTCTGGGGTGTGGTGCAGTAGGAACGAATTCGTCGCGTCGCGGTGAGAGAGACGTCGCGCGCTAAGGAGTGTAGCAGAGTGCAGCAGCACGTAAGTAATACAGGAGCAAAAGAACCAACAGTAGAATCTGTCATAAGTAGTAATCGCATAGCAATTGAGCTGTATGAAGAGTGCTAGAACTGATATAGTGAGGCGAATGGTCCGCCACAGCCGCGTGCGGGAGATCGGTTACACAAAACCGTTCCTACTGCCCGTCTCCCTTGTTTCTGAGGTGCACCCCCATATTCGATTTCATTCAGGATTGTCGTGGCGTATTGGCCTATACCATGACTTGGGGTGGTCACCCGATGAACAAGTCGCTACACTCATTCTTCCAGACAAGTCTGGTACCAATTAAACGATTCCGGAGAGATAAAAGGCTTGGTTAGACGGGCGGATATCGATCTGGGATTTGAACCCAAGACATGCTTGTGACAGCGCGCCACTTGGGAAGCTAATCAAATTGGCATAATTTTTCCAACTGTTTGTGACAATTGCGCCATTACATTGCGTGGCGCAATTTCCACAAACAGGTGAGAATTTTTTACAAAAAAAAATTGCTTTTACCTTTTTTATCTGCCTTTGACAGGTTTTTTGATTACTTGTTGATTTGTATTGTTTCTTAAAGAAAGGCAAATCGTCTCCTACCTGAATCATATTTCAAGCGCTGTTCGTTTGCCTCACAACTGTGCCACAGCAATCCCACCGTTCGATTTTCGCCTACGTATACGGTTTCTCTGGGTGGAGGTCCCACTTCACATCCGACAAATTTCCCATCGGTTCTGAACAAACAAAAAGGGTAATAAGCATTTTATGACTCCTTCATTGCAAGGTCACGCCCCCTTCCAGTGAAGCCCCTCCCTCGCGATTAGAATTCGATATGAAAACCTCACGCATTGGTTCCATCGCATTCATAAACCCAAGTTTCGTCGTCAATCCAAGTATCACCATCTCGCCAGCAAACACCGTACCAATCACGGCAATCACAATCATCTAGAGTAAACAAAGTTAAAATTTCAGTGATCAGGGGAGAAAGTAAAGTAGCTACGAGTAAACCTTACCTGGTAGTACCTCCACGTTACTATTGCACTGACTCGAACCAATTAGCATTACTAGGGCGAAGCTGATAGCCAGCGCGACCGTACTGCTCATCGAGAATCTGATACGGCTGTGAATCATTCCATCATTGAATTTGTCGACTCGGACTCATAAGACGGTCCCGTTCTGGACCTTTTCGAACGAAGTGAAAAAGGGGAAATTTGAAAATGGGGAGATTATGGGGATACTTCAAGTAAAAGAAGCCCCTTGTCAGCACCCTATTTTTCTGAGCTGTCAAAACTCCGCTAAATAATATGTGCCTGGAAAACGGGGTCCAACTAAATACGACGGTAGTGCCATTAGCAGGAGGTGATCAACCAGATGCTGAAGATGAGCTCTACAGGAA